GGAGGACAGAAATAAAAGATGTGATCTGAGGATCCTATCGAGATCTCATCAAATCCTCATTCAGCATTAATCACTTCTAGGCAGTACTATTGTAATTCATTATTACCCAATACTGCTGCAAGAACACTGACGGGGACTAGAAAGAGACAACACATTTCTCCCATACTGGCTTATCTCCACTGGCTTCCTGATAAATCCAGGATTGAATTTAAAATCGTCTCCTCATGTTCAAGGTCTTGTATAATAATTCCATTCGAGCACTTTGCTCTGAGATACTATCTCTACTTTTAATATTAGGCTTAAAACTTTCTTTTTGATAATGCATACAGTTAGGGCTGGATAAGCTAACTATGAAACCTTTGGGGCAAGTGCCTGCTCATAAGGGATCATCTGATTGAGGGTTTTTTTCTTTATTATAGCAGCACCTTTAGCTGACGATAAAGATAAAGATCCTATGAAATAAAGCTCCTTGAGGAAATCGCTGTTGTGATTCGGTGCTATATAACTAAAAATAAAACTATAGCAGTCACATCACTGAAAGTTAGTAATTAACAGTTTGTACATCCTGCGAACAGCGTAAAAATGCAATGCAAATGGTTACACCCCAGAGTTCTTACCAGGTCTGGAAGGTAATGAAGTCGAAGGCACATTGGGGAGAGGGGCGGTCTCTGGTCCACCGATCTCGAGCAGATTTTTGTCCAGCTCTTCCTGTTCCAGCTCGTCCAGCTCGGCAAGCAGCTCATCCTGAGAAGCAAAGAAATTCACCCCAAGGATGAAGACCAGCAACAACGTATTCATACCAGCAAAAACAAAAAGATAATAACTAATAATTACACTCGGCTATACTGGGTTAACCCAATATCATTATCAGTGCAACATTCATATGCCAAACACAGGATAATAGCAACTGTCTAAGAGATAAGTAATGATATTTCTGAGTCAGGCGTATGAAAACATGCTTATGTCATGTACAGTAAAATCCCATCATCATTAAGAAGGAAGCCTTAGATAAGCAAAGATGCAAAAGACAGAATGATTTCATTGTGGCCAAGAGGATTCACGGTGGAACACAGCAGAATTTAGAAATGTCTTTAATGTGAATGAGAAAGGATTAAAATAGACACTGGAAACCAGTACCAACTAGATAGATGTAGGGCATAAATATAGTATAAACTAAGTATGGAGCGTATGCATAAATGCACATTTTAATAACTGTACGTGTATGTGGTTGTGTGAGGCTGTGTGTTAAAGCCCAGTGTCTCTCTACTCTCTCTCCGTTGTGTGGTTCAACTTCTTTGCATGCTCGTTAGTGTGCAGACTCCTTCTCCTGATTGGACCCTGGTTCTTCATTATTCTGCCTTCTACATTTTCTGATGGACTGCTGCCCCAGTCCTGTGCTCCAATCAAGCTCCAGATGATTACAGAAGCTGTCTTAAAAAAATTGTTAATTTCATGCATCTCAGGCTTCTTGTTCGGCTCCACACACAGGTGCTTGCTTGTTTCTGGCTTAGTAACTTGTTTTGTTTCCATCTGGGACACTTGCCTCACCCTGACGATTGTGGCAGGTTTAGTAGAAACTGCACCATGCATAGACTACTCTGTGTACAAACAACAGATCTCGAGGTGGTACCAAAGGTTGAGGTTTCTTTTCTTTTAAATAAGGGTGTAGTCGTTTTTTGTCTCCTGTGCTGTTTTGTGAAAAAAGACATTAAAAAAATGTTTAAAAAGAATCTATTAAAACCTTTTAGGTGCAACTCCACCTTCTCCATCCTGGTTAAAGCACACTTTAACGTGCCTACAAGCCAGGGTCATAACCGTGTGTATCTGCAGTTATCAATACGTTGCTGTGGATGCAAGTACAGATTAACCCTCCTGCACCATTTCATTTTTTTTGATTTAAGCTTAGAATTGAGTCTTTTTTCTTTAATCGTCACTACCTGTTTTATTTGGGTACGCTCTCAATTTATGTATTTTTGGTAAGAAAATCTGTGAATAAAATGAGGCACTTGCACACTTAGAATCAGATATACCACACAAATGTAAACATAAAACAGCTGAAGAGCTTCACCTACCTCATCAAACTCCTCACCAAAGCCCACAGGTTTAGAGATGGCGTCAGAGATTTCTTGGGCCAGTTCCTGCTGCTCTGTAATGTCCTGCATCAGTTCATCCACTTTGTCAATGTCCCTGAAATAAGAAGGAAAGACTGTGAGCAAAAGAGAATTCACTCATATAGGTTTTATAAAAGAGGCTATTTAATCTAAATATGACGATTAGATGTCTGAGTAGTTCTACGGCAAAAACTAAGGAGGATGTCAGGCATCTAATATACATGGCAGTGAAACCCACATACACTTTTTTATGGTTACATTTTACAGATACTGACTGAAATAAATGCATAAAAGAAAGGATTACTGCATGTTGGTGAAATTATATGCATTTCATTATCAGCAAAACCTCCTTGTAATATTTCTGATCATTTCAGAACTGACTGAATCTTCTTTACGCTTGCTTTAGTCTCAGTAACAAAAAGGAAGTTGCAAAAATAATCTGTGCAGAGAGGTTTCGTCCCAGTCCAATCGATCACGCCTTGGTGCTCGCTCTTACATGTTTTCATGAGCAGACTTCATGGCCTTGGCAGCGAAGCCCATGTTTTTGAGCACTTCAGTGTTGGTGTTGGCGTTCTCCAGAGCCTCCCGCTGGAATTCAATGGTGGACAGCGTCCCATCGATCTGCTCGAGCTGCTTTTCGTACCGCTTCTTTCTTTTCAAGGCCTGAAGTGCCGCTGAGGATCCAAAGACAGGGAGTGGGGTGGGGAGAGTCAGAATGAACAAATTGGCCTTGAAACACCATTTAGTGACAATGGAGAGAAACAGTGAATAATGGTACTTTAACACAGCAAATATTTGTGATACTACCTAATCAGGCTGTCATTCCTGTTAGTCAGCACTACTCTGTGAACCTAGATAATTCACTGCTAATTATTCGACCACATTAGTGACAGTTTTAGCAATACGAAAGACAGTCAAATATAGCCTGCGTGAAGACTAATGGAAAACCTGGAGAGTAATTAATCAGGTAAAGAGGTCAGATGACAACAACCACTGAAACCTGATAGGCTATACTGATCTTGTCAGAGAAGATTGTGCTACGCTGAGTCATTCTGTGAACTTTGTGGATCAGAAGAAGGAAGTGATTAGCTAATGTACCATACACTGCAGTATTCTGACTAAAAATTGGCACTAAGTCTTTTTTATTTTTATTTTAACTTAATACATCTGGTGGCTCCATTAACTGTTCGTCCATTTTTCTTCTTCCACTTATTCAATTTAGGTGTTGCGAGGAGGGGACTGAGGGCTGGCTAGAACTTATCCCAGCTACCTTAGAATGAGAAGCAGGGGTACACCCTGGACAGGTTGCCAGTCTATTACCGAGCTAACACAGACAACCATAAATCATCAATTGACCTAATATCATGCATGTCTTTGGACTGTGGGAAGCGATGGAGAACCCGGAGAGAACATGGAAACTCCACACTGGCTGGATTTGAACCTGCGATCTTCTCTTTGGGAGGCGACACCGCTAACCATCCTGATCTAAATTAAATTTACTCTGATCCCTAGAAATGTGCTCGATGTCAACAAGAACAATAGACATGTACAAATCTATATGGTTGGCTCCACGTTGTGGTAGAACATGGTCAACTTGTATTACAGTTAACTTATAATGAGCCCCAAGCTGTGATCGGCTCACGTAATCATCTGTAAGGAGACTGTGGGACCTGCTGGAGGTCCACAGGTTTCTATACGGACATCTGATCAAGATGCAAACACGCCCACCTCTCTGACACTTATAACACGTGCTCAACCCTTGTCCTGGCTAACCGGGTCGATATCTTTATTACCGCTATATTTGCAACATCATACCTAACAGTCCATATACACACACCACACCTTCAACCAGGTCTCCTGATTTTTAAACAACCACCTATGAGTCAAAAGAAAACTCGAATATCAGCAAAGGCCAAGGCTAGCGTCCCCGCGGGGCCATAAGTTAACGGTGATCACATAATGAAGTCAGTCACACAGCTAGACAGCCGCCCATCCAGACTGGCAGCCATGGCCGTGGTAAAGACGCTGGATGAGGCTGCCAGCAGTTACGACACCTCGGGAAAGTTAGCCAACTCAGCTAACGGGCTAGCTAACGGTTAGCTTGAGGTTGCTGACAACAAAAATCTAACAAGCAAGAGAAGAAACTACGGGGGAAAAAACCCTCGCGGCGTCTCACCTCTTTTGTTCTTTGTGCCGTTTTTCTTTGCGGTCTGCAGCTCCTGTTCGATCTTCTTCTCTAAAAATTCCTGTTTCTTGGTTAGCATCTCCTCCGTCTCCCGGAGTTTTTGGATCGCCTCCTGTGGACTCGGTCCCTTTCCCGATTTTCCTCCTCCTCCAAATATCTTGCCAAACACCGACATGTCTGGGATATTACAAAGCGCTTACTATAAAGACAAAACACAAATGCGAGATATCTTATAAAATAAAGCTAAAGCTACGTCTCTGCTAAGCTACTCGGACACTTCGCCTTAACCTGGACCCTGGAAGGGTTGTTGATGTTTTTCCACTTCCTGGATTAGGCCCACTGACGTCATTCTGCCCGGCGAATGAGGGGCGTTGCCTGTTGGTTCTCTGTCGCCATCTGCCTGACAACTGCTTTTAATCCTCTTTAATTCTTCAATCACTCTTCTTTAACAAGGAATATATTAATAATAATAACAATAGTTTTTCCTCTTTTGAGTTTAGCAGCTGTTGTGCTTTCGTACTTAATGAAACGTCCCCAAACAACAAGTAAAGGCAGTATTTTTGCAGCTGTATAGATTTTTTTGTCCTGCTATTCAAGTATCAAAGTATTAGCAGTTACAGGGATATGCACACCATGCTTCCCAGATTGCATTCTTAACTGAAAGGGAAAAAAACAGAAACCTTTCACAGAACCAGACAGTTGGGGGGGGTTTATGTATTTTAATTCATTATGATGCTACATCATCCATGGTGGCTGTTTATTTTCTTCCTTTAGTACAGTATGTTAATAACTTTGCCAGTTATCCTTTGAGTCTTTTTTAATTTTTATTTACATACAAAAAGAGTATCCAATTACTGTGTGATTACATTGTTGTGACTGTATCTGCAGGTGTGGTCTGAAGCGCTGATGCCTTTGTTGTTTTTAAATCCTTTAATGTAGTGTGTATTCACAGGTCAGTCCTCTCACAGCTGCCCACATCCAGACATATCTGACCCCCTCCCCGCCCCATGCAAATAAGCAGATATTCATTGTTTGTTTGTTTTTAACTTTTGAGGAAATGAATCAGCCGAGACGGTCATGTGATGGCCAAGATAATACAGCTGTGTTATCTCACAACCACCAGAACTCAACAGGACACAAACGGAAAAGGTGACAGCAAAGGAAACAAAAACACACACACACACACAAACTGATAACCAGACTCAAGATGGTCCCTTTTGGAAAAGACAGTATTTTTTTGTTTGTTGGTTTTGCTAACATGGATTTTTCAACACTCAAAAAAATAAAATAATCATAATAAATTCAGGTCATTCCATGCAGACTACAGAGTGCACAAGTGAGAATAGCGCATTTGAATATTTTAAACAACAGAAGCAAAGTGTCTACATGACAACACAAGAGAGGAAGAAGAGAAACAAACAAAAAAGGCCAGAGGGCGCAAAGTCAATGCACCATGGGCAAAATTCAATAGAGTGGTCAGAACTTGTGTTACATACTCTGATGTGCATGGATAAGTAAGAGTCTGTTTTGCATGACCTGTCCAGAGCTTTGTAGCCAGACATTAGCCTTTTTATTTTTTTCCTGTTCAGCGTAACTCTGTGTGCAAACCTGAGGAAGTAATTAACAAACAAAAAAAACAAAACAAAAACCAAGCATGAAGATGTAAATTACAGCTTTGTTTCTGAAACAAACAAACAAAAAAAAAAAAAAAAAAAAAAAAAAGAAGCCAAAAAATAAAATATAAATCACCATACAGAACACTTTCTCTGAAGTCATAATTGTGAATTTACTGAGTCATGATTTTAATGAATTTCTACAGATTCCTTGGTCTGGATTACACCAAATCATCCAATTCAATCATTCAATTAGATTTTCAACAAACACCCCCATTTTTGCTGAATACAAGAAATCCGTTTGGATTATTTATTCATTTTTAAACCAGCCCTCTTCACAGCCTGTGAGCCTCACCGTCTGTGGTCTCCTCGCATAAAAACAGTCACTCAGTCCGACACATCATTGCTCCTGCAGGAGGCAAAATAAACACACACACACACACACACACACACACACACACACACAGACACACATGCTTTTTCTTTTCTTTTTAAAACCCCAAACTCTTTAGAGGACAATACATGAAGCTTGAGTCTAGAAAGGGGAAAAAAAACAAAAAAACAAAACAGTCTTTCACTGATCAACTGTGTTCACCTCTCCTTGCAGATTAATAAATGGAAGAGATTATCAGAAGAGGGTTAGAGCTTTTAAACGGACAACGTGTGTGAGCAACTTATGAAAACTTGCGAATCAATGAAAGACTTTAGACATTCAGCCAGCGTGAAGCCACTTAAACACACGACTAACTGTTACCTGTGCAAGTTAGGGAAGATCATTTAAGGAAGAGAGATGGACGGAAAGAACAGATCAAAGAAAAAAAAAAAAAAAGGACCTGTGACAAAAATGCTCGCACTCATGGTTTAACTTGGGATAGCCTTCTTTCGTTTTCTTTTTACACCAAACCATCATGATATTGCCTTAAATGTTTAAAAGAAGGAAAGAAACAGATCAACATAAACCCAGAAGACATCCCCGTCGCCGTTGCTGACACGCGTCCTCCCAAGCACGCGGTCTATCCGTCCGTCTGTCACTGTGCTCTGTCCGTCTGTGTCCCTACAGGGCCAGCTTGCCAATGATGACTCCAATCACAAAGAAGAGCACGCAGAACGCCAGCACGCGGGTGCTTAGGCCTTCGTCCCTCACGGCTGTGGTGGCCATGGTGGAGGAGGAGTGACCGGGGGCCAACGGTGTCACCTTTCTCTTCCGCAGACCGTCATCCTCCTGTGATGAAGACAAGGAGTCAGAAATACAAATACGCGCTTATAAGTTAACTTTTAATTTGTTAGAATTTGTCACTCCGCATCTCAATGATAGCTTATCAAAAATCTGATATTTATTTTTATATGTCATTACTGGATTTTTAAACAATGTTTACACCAGGATCATTTTCCATCATTTAACAAAGAGCCAGCATAGTGAACAGTTTTGCTTTTCTGTTGCAAGCAGCTATAACACTGCTGCCTTCAAGTGCTGTCAGAATTTTTTAATTATTCTCAAACAAACAAACAAACAAACAAACGAAAAAAAAAATCACGGATAATAACAATAGCGATATCAAAAGGATAAGGAAGCTTGCGGGAAATTTTATGCCTGAATATAAAGCTTTACATACAAAACATACAATTTTCACAAATGCGCAATGTGTCCCCCTCTCCATGCATGGCATTTGTCCATACCATAGCCAAACTTGTCCCATACTTTTGCAAGCGTGTCTGGAGTCACTGCAGCCACTGCTGTTGCTATGATACACCCAGTATGATGATTGTATATCATATATGACTGTATGTTTGTTCCCACACTCCTCCTAGATGACTGATTTAATTTTCCTGAAACTACCTATGGTTTGTAGTATGTTGAGTGATTAAAACTACAACATCAAATAAAAATTACTTTTTCTTTTTCAGTGCATTTGTATTTGGAAACTTCGTGACCAAGGCCGGTTCATAAATGTATGTTGTTTTTACGCATCTAAATAAAACACAATGTTTAGGTTTATATCCATGTTACAAGGACACTTTAATGGTCACCAGAGGGTCTAAGTTCTAAGAACTGGCAAGACTTTACTTGCCATCTGGTGTGTCTATACGATTGGACAGCATTATTTGAGAGAGAGGGAAATCTTCCTGGATATTTGCATCGCTGGGAATGGCAGGTGTGGTTGTTCATTCCTTTAAGGTAAAGTACTGACTTGCCTCTGGAGTAATTCCATTTTAATTTCTGTTTCCAATTAAAATCCCCTATTATTCATATTAAAGAGAGGGTTAAAGTGTAACTTCTAGCAAAACTTTGCTACAGTGATCGTGTAGAAGTGTAGTTTTAAACATTGCTCAAAATCACCTTTACTCGCAATTTTGTAGTAATTAACCTATTCAGGTTTATGATTTATAAGCTGGTAAACATTTACACATAACAGAAAAGACATTCATAAGAATCAGCGTAAAGAGCTGACAATGATATGAGCCATACCACATACAGGATGGGGTCACTGCCATTCGGTCCTTTCTTTTCATTCTGTTTCACGGTCCTAATGCATCTCTAATGGTTTCAAGTTGTCAGTAATTAAATGAGGTTTCTTTAAAATCCTCACTGATAAGTCTGACGTAGGCCTGTTCTGAATGCAGTTCCTTTCCTTACTTAGATGCTGTCTAGGGACAATTCTCTGGACTCGAGCAATGACAAAAATACTTTGAGAAAACTCAGGCAGTCATTGAGTCATTTCATTCTCTGCTTCACGTTAATGTAGTGCAGCACTAGTTGCACTAGTCAAAATATATTTCCTGGAATAAAACATTTTATTTCAGTGGTTTTTTTTAAATTTTATTTCAGACTTGGTCTTGTTCCTCCTATATTTAAGAGTAAACTCCACAGCAATGCTTCTTCTGTTAGCACAAGAGAAGACGAGCTAGAGCAGAAAATACAAGTCTGACTGGAATATGAGACAGACACACAGGCTCTTATTTGTTTTAGCGCGTCTCACCCTGATCTGTTTGTTTTCTTCCCGTAGCCTCTGCACTTCCATCTGCAGTCGCTTGCACTCCTCCATGATCTTCTTCACTTCTCCATCATCCAGCGAAGCACTGGCTGACTTGGGCAGGACAGAGTGCTCAGTCTTAACAGAGGCAGAGGAAGACACAGTTTTGATGATTTCACTCTCATGCTGTGGAGAGAGAGTGAAGATGGGGAGTGGTCGGTGGGATGAGAGTGGAAGAAAAAAAAGGAACGAGGGGACATGCAAAGACAAAGCATGGAGATTAAAGTGGAAACAAATCACAAAACAAAATAAATCACGAGATGGGTGATACAGTGATGTGTAGCTGATGAATACAAGACAAAAAAAAAATGCTGACAGAAGGAAAAAAAACTAAAAACTACTACTCCACTGAAACAGAAATTAAATGGTTTAGTCTGATTTTATTCTTTGAAGGGGACCTATTGTGCTTGTTTTCAGCTCCATACTGTTATTCATTGTTGCTGCTAGAGCTCGACATGATTTACAAATTGAAATATTCCTTATTCATCTTATACTTGGCCTTGGCACAGTCAAACAGTTGATCCAGTCTGAAACGAGCCCTTTTAGTTCCTCACCTTTTAACGCTGCACTCTGTTTTAGCCAACCTTCTTTTGATTGGCTGCCTCCTCTCAAACAGAAGGTTTGGGCAGCTTGGTGGGGTTCCCGTGCTTTCAGCCAGATTACTGCTTACAACTTTTCTGTCACAACAGGTCCCACTAAATACTCAGTCAGCATATAATCTGTTACTACAGACAGCTATTATTATGTACTTAAATCAATGAAGTACACAGTGGAACAACCGTTTGTGGAGCTCATTTGGGGTGTGAAAAAATGTGACTGTGAATGTTTAAAGTGATGTGGCAAATGTTGAAGTGAAGAGAAACACTTACAGTTTTGTCATTTTCTAGAGGCATCTCAAATGCACATCTCAACTTTGAATCCATCAGCTCTTCAGGCTTTGCCTCCTTCCACTGTTGACAAGAAAATGAAAAAGGGAACCTTTAGATTTTTCTTTTTTTTGTATCACAACTTCATTTTTCACTAATATCCATACTTAAAAGTAAATTCTCAACAAAAATGTCCAACTTTACATTTTCAGGCTTAGGGAGCTGCATAAAAATGTATACATTTGTCAAACAGTTTTAAAAAAAGCTTTTGCGGAATGAGACAAATACATTGAGTGAGCTACACTATTCAAGTGTTCAGCTGAAGATAGACTTTTGGAAGACACAGATGCCACTAACGCAACTAAACAAAACAAAACTCAGGGCCGAGAGGCAATGTAAGAAATTTAAACCCTTCAGATTCTCCAGTAATAAAGTACCCCCCCCCAAAAAAAGGAAAATAGTATGCTCAGGTACTCACAACTCCTTCCATGTCAGTCATGTCATATGGAGCCAGCATGGACTGCACCATGAATTTGTGTTTACTCTTTTCATTGGGGTCATAGTCAAAAGGCTGTAGCATAACTGTGGGCAAAAACAAAGACAGAATGAAGAAACCAGCATTTGCCAGTCTCATAAACCAATAGAACACAGAACACATTACATGTTGAAAATGGAAAAAAATGTACAATGTCAAGAAAAATATTAGCCATTTTGAATTTGAAGAAAATCGCTGAATTTGAAGAATTTGTAGCAACATGTCTCAAAAAAAGTTGGGACAGAGCCATGTTTACTGTGGTTTACCATTCCCTCTTTTTTTAACAACAGCCCATAAAAACCAGAGGAAATGGGACCAGTTGCTGGACTTTCAGGGGAGTAATAGTGTCCCATTCTTGTCTGTTATAAGCTTCTTGCTGTTTTTGGCTGGTAAAAGGTCTGGACTGTAGACAGGCTAGTTCAGCACTTGGACTCTTTTACTAGAAAGTTATGCTGTTATGATAGCTGCAGTATGCTGTGTTTTATTGTCTCGCTGAAATATTCAAGGCCTTCCTTGAAAAAGACGACCTCTAGATGAATATGTTGCTCTAAAGCTTGTATGTACCTTTCAGGACTTATTGTGTCTTTCAAGTAGTACAAGCTAGAGCAGGGTGATAAGACCAAAAATATTTATCACGATATACTAGGGCTGCTCGATTATGGCAAAAATGATAATCACGATTATTTTCACTGAAATTGAGATCTCGATTATTTGACGATATTTATTTAACCCTTTAAGACCTACCATAGAACCAAGTCCGCCAGAGCTTATATTATTATTATTATTAATTAATTTATTTATTTTTTTACATGCTGTAGTGCCATTTGTAGGAGCATTTCAAGTTGCTATACATCAATACAACTGTTATAGCCCATATTTTAATAATATGTATGCATTAAGTCCATAGTAACTACATAAATTGCAAAAAAGTGCAATAAACTACAAAAAAAATTGAAAATCGTTTTTGTTTGTTTTTTAACATACATTTCTACTTGGGGAAATTTAAGAGGCTTATCCCTCAAAAAGTTAAATACAAAAGTTGCAAAAAATAGTTTACAACAACAGGAAATTTATTTTGAGTGTCTTCATAGTTTTATTTTGGAGATACAGCAATTTTTATATATTGCAGGAAAAACAAAAAACAATCCTATGATGCAAATTTGCAAAGAAAACAGCATGTGCATCAAAATAAACTATTTCCAGCAGTGCAATTCGAGTTCTAAGCATCCCAGAAACTATTCAGAAAAGTATAGAGTCAAACATGACTTATAAAAAAACCAGTATAGGCTTTTAAGGCCTACAAGTAAAAAATTACATTTTCCGCGAAAATGATGTCACTTCCGGTTTCGGACAGGAAATGGCGGACATGCGATAGTTCGCGTTGACGTCTTTTTCAATGTGGGAAGTGTTACGAACAGCTGATCGGATCGGCAAAGCCTGTTTCTGGAATATTATGTTTTTGTTCCCGCAAGTGCTTTTTATGCAATTTTTGCAAAGCTATATGTGGAAGGAAACTGTGACCTAGGACAAGCTGATGACATAAGATGCAAGTACAAGTCCTCCGGTTTCATATGCAAAACAAATTATTGCGTTAGCTTACGCGGTTCTACAGGAATTTAAAGGGTTAACAATAACAATGTATTGAATAATGACTTTAAAAAATATAAAATAGTGTGCAAATACTGATAACAGTGCAAATGTTTGCAATATAAAAAAAATTAATGAAAAATGTAAACATCTATGTTTAGTGAACTTTGCATTGTTGCTCTGTGGTGCAGCTATGACACCGTAGCAAAGTTTACACACTTTGTCTACTTGATCCACGTCTGACTCCGCAAATCCATAATGTTTCCACACCACTGAAGTTTTTTTTACCTCTCTTTTCAACCAACGGCAGTCACTCTCCTCTCCAAATAAATGCTGCTTAGCTTTCCGAGCTTTCCTCGGGTCCTCTTAATTGTTGTGATGCGTGTTCGAAATGCAGAGAGGTGCGCTCGATTTGCCAAACGGAGCAGCGCGAGAGTAAAGCACGAGGGAGGGGCTAATAATCGGCTCAGTCATTTTTAATGATCGTTGAAAGCCCAGATCGTAATCGTGATTAAAATTCGATTAATTGAGCAGCCCTACGATATACATTTGAAAATATGCGATAATGATATAACTGACGATATAATTGACACTAGACAAAATACTTTACAACTCCACAACTTAATAATGCAAAAAAAAAATAAAAAATCCCATCAATGTATTTTCACTTAAAGCAGCTGTTTTTTTGCATTTAAGTTATATAAAAATTGCAAATTCTTTGCTGACAGTTTAACCAAAAGGCATTTCCAGTGGAAATTGGCCGACATATCCTCAGCATAACCATGCATAATATCCAGAAAACTTAAAAAGAGGTTATACACACACACAATACGGTAATATTATGTTGGAGCACAGTACGTATCACTCCGCGAGGCTCCTGCCTACGGTAGCCATAATGCTCCGACAATCCATCAAGCAGTGCGGCTTCGTAGCTTAGCAAAGTCGTACTAAAACATTTGACAGATTTTCGAGCGCCGTGTAGCACACAAAATCATTTCGAGGTGAGTAAACACAACCCGAATTCATACATACGGCACACGGGATTATAAGGGGCACTCTCGATTTTCAGAAAAATCAAAGGATTGATTTTAAGTGTGCCGTATTTTCCAAAAAACACGGTAATAACGATGGTCCGCTAGCATGCTCTACCAAAAATAGTGCTTTGTTGTGTATCTGATGGACGAAAGTTAAACCAGTTCCACACCACTGAAGTTGCAGCATTTTTCCAAACCAATTCTGGTTCATCCGTTTCATTCAATGATCCGCTTTCACCCTTCTCATTCTCTGTCGCCGCCGGGCTTTTCCCGCCATATGCGTGTGAAAACAAAGGCACTGCGCATGCGTGTTTTACCCATATTCTATCGGGAGATTTCATTTTCTTATCGTTGCCCAACATTATACCGGTATTACCGTGAACTGTATAATATGGCACAGCCCTAGTACAAGCTTCCAATTTCATAGGGACAAATACACCCCATATACCAGTAGAGCCTTATATAAGCACTTTTTGCTTTAGTTCAAAGGACGTGATGTCTTTAAAAAAAAAAAAAAAAAAAAAAGATTTATGTGTTGCTGCCATAAAATTCGAACTGAACTCATCTTATTCATGAGGTAGTAAAATGTCTCATGTCTAAACATTTGACACTTTTCCATCTTATGCTGTGGATAAAATGTTTTCAAAAATTTAAACTTTGAGTAAATTATACCACCCTCCAAAAAAAGAAGAAACAAAAATGAAAGAAAAAAAGAAAATGATGCAGGAGACAGAAACCACTTTAGTTGTCAGAAACAAGTCTTTTTTTTTAAAATTTAAATATAATAGTTATGTGCAGATTAGACAGATTATTGGGAAAGTCATAAGGAGGCATGTGTGTAAAATGTCTCCAAGCATGATGTAATTATAAACTCAGGTAGTGACTGCAGTATCCATTACAGGTAGTGCAGGCGCGACCCTTTATTTGCGTGCTGCAACACAATACATGGTTGCTGCTAGTTCAGCACTACGGTTCCATATCTGACTCTGTTAAATGTAAGTATATTACACTTTATCTAGCACTTAAATTATGACAACTCAATATAGTTTTACTTCTATTAAGCCCAATAAGCTAACATTAATTACAGAGTTAGGCAAAAATGGATCAGTATAAGCCTTTGAACTTATACATTAGGTTCACAGCTTTACCAACTTTTCTGGATGGCAAAAAGATGCAAAGATCCTTACCAGAAACATTTATGGAGGTTCCAGCGTCAATGATGCCACTGTTTGGGCGCACACAGTATCTGCGAGGTGCGGTCGTTTTGACTTTGAAACACACATTTCTGTCTGTGGGGTTGGTCAGCTTCAGGGTGGCGGTGACAACATCTGTAAATGGGCCTGAGGATGAGAAAGAAAGAAATGCAGTGACTTGAGTGTGCGTGCAAGCATGTGGGTGAATTTACACGTCTCGTAGTTTGGGTATAGATGCAGCATTTGTTTGTTACTTGGGCTCCTAAGAAGAAAGAAAACAGGGTGGGTGCACAAAGATTCTCCCAGGTAAAAGTGCAAATATACACAATGTAAAAATCCATTTCTGCAAACATCAATATCAGAGCAGATTTTTTTTTAGCGGTTTTACAGAGCCTGCCACAAACAGAGCAAATTAAACATTAAAACAGTGGTGAGATCAGCAAAGTGTGCACGTGTTTATAATTCATACCACGCCCTCAGCCAAACGTTGGATGCTGCAGAAAAATTACTAGATGGGTGTCTTAAGTGCTAATGTTTTCCTTTTGTCTCTGTAGCAATTAGGTCTCTCACACGTTTCTTGACAGCTTAAGCATGGTTTTGGAAACTGATGTTGATGCAAGTGTGCATCAGTAACAGAGTGGGTGTATGGATCTTCTCCAAAGCCCTGCATCAATCAATCAGTGAACAGCCCACTTCAAACTGATACCACCACCCTAGGCCCTCACTTGACCCATTTCTGCAGCAAAAATGACACACCAAGGTAATTATCCAAGAAAATAATCATTACCGCTGGCACTGCAGCTCAGTCCGTAATTTCATAATCATTGTGCTTGGATACAGAAAAGCTGTAAAGGAATTCGGGTTGCACAGTGGGAGAAAACGCCAAATCTCTTGCCGGCTAGCTTATAATATTGTGAAATAGCATGGTAATAAGGATAAGCAATGACACCCTGATCGTGGAAAATGCTAGAATAGGGAATTCTTTGCAGTCGGGCAGTAGAAACGACACTGAAGGGGAAGTTAACTGAACCATTAGATCAAATCGAGGTGTTTCCAATGCTGTCAGAGTATAAAAGAGAACGTATGACAAGCAAATGAGAGAATTAGAGAAACGGTGCGGCGGGCCTGCCCTGACGCTGCAATGACAGCTAGCAGTTTGCCTTGTTGCTAGTGAGATTAGCTGGATGCTACTCCAGCGAGCTAGTTAGCACCGTCGCACAGTGTCGTTTCACCTGTCACCGCACAACTGTCGTACACACAATGTAGACTACAACTAACAGCTATATCCCTCACGTTTTACCACAGCATATACAACGAATGGCACATTCAACTACTCAGTAGTGCAGAAATCGAAATACTGGCTCTCATTTACAACGTCTCCTGTGTTAGCTACCTAAGCTCGGCCCTGCCCTCCGCTTCTTCGGTTACCTCTGAATTTCAGTTCGTGTTGTGGCTCCAGCAACAGGACTTGTTCTGGTCTGGCCATGTCCCAGGGCTTCTTCCTGTCGTGACGGCGAGGACAACAATATTTTTTTATCGCAGTTGGCCCGCAGAGGTGAAGCAAGCTGGCTCCCGAAGAAACAACCCGGCCGCCCTCGGTTTTTCTACGGGAGGGTAAATAAAGAGGGGGGATTTATACACGTACAAACACACACCGCCACTCGAACTGACAGGCTGACTGACTGCCACCGACAGCTGCTGGAGGCTAAAAGGTGCTACTGCTAACTTTACTAGCAGCGGAGACGAGGAAGGAAAAGGCTACGTCACGCTGTGGGCGGGACTAGCAGGTGACGTGAGCTGGTTTTTGTTAGTGCTGTCAAAGAAAGTCCAACGTTTAACAGCTCAGGACTGAGATAAGACAGCACTATGAACACTTCAGCCACAATAAAGATTTTACATTAAGGCCTAAAGCACTGCTACACATTCCTTAAAATGTTATGTTTTAATCTTATATAGTTTTAATAGTGAAAAATACAAACCATACCAGTATATGGAAGAAATTTCAGATCCTTTTTGCCATAGACCTTTAAAGAGTCCTCTTCTGGTTGCTCCCAGTAGGGGCAACCACAGCAGATCATCTGTCTTCATCTCGCTGTCTCCCTTGAATTCTTTCTCACACCAGCCATCTGCATTTCCTCCTTCACTTCATCCATGAATCTTCTCTGTGGTCTTCCTCTTTTCCTCCTGCCTGGTAGCTCCATATTCAGCATCCTTTGCATTAATACATATTTATACCTTCTCTGCACATATCTAAACCATCTCAACTTGCCTCTCATTAGTGTCATATCTTCAAACCATGCAGTATAACAAGTCTCACAGCCACCTTTGAAAATAATGCCAACCAAATTCCTCCAATAGGTCTGCATAACCCCTCACCATAGGTAGACTTTGAATTAGGTAACACCAATTAATTCAGCCAGATTTGACAACCCACAGGAAAAATATGGAGAGGCTGGTCTGTGTTTTTCTTGGCTTGGTTTTTTTCCCCCTCCACATTTGTGTCCTGTTTTTCCAAATAAAGTTCTTGCTGAGGGCCCCAGTTAGACTTATTCCATCTCCTATTTTATATCTGTATCTGAATGGACTTAATTTAGCTCAAATTCAGATCCATCAGATATGAGTTTTCCCTTGCTGTGATTTTCTACCAATTTCCAAGAGAGTCCTGAAAAAAAAAAAAAAAAAAAAAAAAAAGAAAAGAAGCAAACTCTGCTAATGTCAAAGCCTAAAATTAATAAAAAGAAATTTTCACTAAGTAAAATGTTGAGTTTTTGGATACGGAGAGCTGGAGAACACCTTTTTTAAAAAAAAAAAAAGAGTACAAACAACAAACATGTATTAGAAAAGTCTTGTGCATTGCTTCCATACACACCGCTTCAAAACACACCTGGTAAGTTCTGAAAATATGGAATCAACATGTCAAGTTTTTAAGTTTAGGTGCTTAATGATTAAAAAAATATATAGTTTTTAAATTATCAGGGCACTCGTTAGGAGGCTGCAATATTTCCTTTTTGACTAAGACCATGGAAACTGAGCTGAGTAGGCTTGGGAGTTACTTAATCCAGAATAAAACTAGGTAATTTTACCTTTAGATACTCACATCGGTGATACATGCAGGAAAATCATTTACACCAGGAGTGTCAAACATAAGGCCAGGGGACCAGAATCTGCTCAGCAAAGACTCCAACCTGGCCTGCTGGAAGTCTTTGAAAATTGTGCAGGAGGGCATCAATCCTGCACTTAAATGTATTCTCAGAAATTTTCTTTTTCCTACCGAAGACTACCTCTTCCACAGCCACACTCTAAGTAATAGATAAGTGCCAAAGTTAAGAGGTTGTCGGAATTAAAAAAAAATAAAAATCAATGTGTCCACAGTCAAATAATAAAAACGGAAAGTTTTTAACTGAATTTTCTATTTCATAATTACAGGCCCGTCTAGGCAATGAGCTACCAGAACTTTGTAATTTTACACATTTGAGTCCGAAGAGTCATGTTGACACATTTCTTTATCACGTATAAGATATCTCAAGCAGTAAATATGCATTTAAGTTATTTTTACGGGCTAAAAGATTCTCTCAAGTACAGCCCTTTTAAGATCAAAGTGGGCGCACAGTTGGCGACCCATTGTGCTTTTCTACTTGTGCTACATCCTTTCATATTCTTTTCTTCCTGCCAGTCACTCTTTGAGATCATTATATTACACATGTACTTTGAGTAGCAGTAGCAATAAATGAATAAAGAGAAAAAAAAAAAACAAAAAAAAAAAACAAAAAAAACAAGGAGCTAAAGAATTTATAGAGCTAAACTTGAAATAACAAATATGTTTGATACAACAGTGCATTCAGCTCATACTTCTGATTGTAAAAGCTGCAAGACAAGGCATCTCTAATTTTTTTTGCTGCGGTGGGGGGGGAAGGAGAAGGGGGTGGGAATAAATAAATAAATAAATATCAGCACTGTTAAAGATTAAGTGATTTGGTCCGATACGTTACCGATTTTCACGAGTGTAGATCAGTTTTTTGGTTGGGAGCTAGAGACACAGGTAGATGTGCAAAAAGTTCACTGCCATGAGGATTGTTGTTTTGCGAAGCACAACAGTCATAAGAATCTATAAGCTTGGATGCACTTTTGTCTAATAGTGTTGCTGATTTCTATCCCCTGAGTTGCGTAGAGTGTAATGACAAAAACATGACAAAGCAGTTGCTGTTTGCACCAAAAAAAAAAAAAAAAAAAAAAAAAAAAAAAAAAAAAAAAAAAAAAAAA